TGTGTTATTTTCTGTATATATATATACATACATACATATATATATATATGTATGTATGTATGTATGTATGTATTTGTTTATGTATTTATTTATTGTCTATACTCTACTTAGAGTCATGTGTACATGTACACGTTATCCTTGTTTCGTTATAAACTTCTTTATCGATTTAGGTATACATCCAGATGTAGGTGGTGCTATTCTGATAGGGTTGGCTATGCAGTTCCACTCTATTTTTCATGTGTTGAAGTCACCCTCCCGAAGCCTGCTCCTTCAACGTCGGCATCGTTTCTGGTTGTCTTGGAGCGTCTCAGGGAGACCGTGCTCGACCTATCGAAACTCCAGTACCAGAGGGCACTGAACCTCGGACTTAGAGTGCCCCGTGCCTGCGAAGCCCAGAAAGAATTGGGCAAGCACTCAGCGTGCCTGCACCTCGTCCTGTGGCTGAAACAGTGAAACACGTGTAAAGCTGCATCATGCAGTTGTGTGATATTTCCAGGTTTTAAGATGAATCAGCGGCACAGAAAGTCCGAAACCCGTCAACGATGTTTCTAGAAAGCTCCTAAGCCCAGACTCCCACTAAACCTGCATGCCTAAGTACCCTCGATGGCAGGATTGCGCACATGTTTGAGGATCTCATCGACTGTAAGTTGCAGCCTCAGGTTTCAGCAGAGCGTGCAAAACGTCTATTTGGGGGAACCCTCAACTTATCCGCTGCCAAGGCGAATTCTGCGTGAGATCGCAATTCTCTCCAAGCTGGAGCACGAGAACATTGCCGGAACCTAAGACGCAGGAGTCGGAAAAGGCCTTAGGAACATCCACCTCCAGGATCCGTTTGAAGCAATTTCAGCGCAGCACATGATTTATTTCAGGGGCCCGGTGCTTATGGGAAGGTAGTCATGCACAGCACCCCAGGCACTTGGAGGGCAAAACAACCCAACTTACGACTGAAGTACCATGTCCCGATCCTCTTTGGCTCTGAGCACCAATTCAGCATCACTCGAAACCCATCCAAGGGCCGAGATCGCAAAAGCCCTAAACCTCAGCATATTGGCTTGGGTCGAGCTTTGAGACTAGTATCGGCAACAAGTTCTCTGACCCTGAGATTTCTCGAGATGTGCAGTAGAAGAGTAGGAGTGACCGCAGTTGACCGACAATTCGCTTCGACGTTCGGAACCCGGCTTGCAACTGCAAGACTTTTTTGACTGAGGTGCAGATCTATGATATCGTGCCGGCCCCTGCTCGTTCAGATCCCTGTTTTTGCTTATCAAGCACCCTCTCACAGAAAAAGCCAAGCAGTGGATTTGGGGGTTAGGGTCCGGGAGTGTAGCCCCAGAGATCCAGCCGCATAGTGCATCGCATCTCCTGTTCAAGAGTACTTGGGACTTCGCTTCTGCTCAAAATCCAGAAGCTTGGGTTCACAACGAGAGGTTGCGCTTCCCAGAGCAAGTAATCTCCTTTCGAAGTCGACACCTGGGTCGCTTCCCCTCCTCCGTCCTTGCTTTTTAGCCATCTCCGTTCGTCGTTTAATTGTACTTGCATCTAGCGGCCTGCAAGTGTGTGTGTGTGTGTTGATATACATTTCAACAGATGCACACATACCCTATACCATATATGTACATACACACATACATACATACATACATACATACTTACATATGTGTTTACATATATGTACATGCAATCTAAACTACTAAACTCCTGTGTAGGCATGTCTATACATATATATATATTTTTTTTTTACATATACATACATATGTGTGTTTGTGTGTGTGTGCACATACAGTTTCATGTACGGTCGCACGTGTACGTGCAAGTTTGCTGTTTGTTGTGAAAGCTGTCCGGTAAACGTGCAAGCTAGTGCAGCGTATTCGCTTTTCAGCCTTGCACAACAATTCCCCCATGTGGGGCTCCAGGCTATGTTTATATCTATGCGCTTCCGATGTCCTAGTTTGGTTGGACCGCTTTGTTGAGTCGCAGATTCTGTTGCTGTGCTTGCATCGTTGCCTGTTTGCTCTGCAAGTGTGCGCACTTGCAGGTGTGCAGAGGGGCATAACCTGACTGGTTCGGCAAGCCAAGAAAAAGCGACACTAAGGCTGGGGATGTGGCTTTAGCAGGTTGGGGAGGTTAGCTGAAGGTTTAGGGAAGGGCCACCTGCTTAACGTGCTGCACAAACCCAAACTAAACAAGACTACCCAACACGCTGCCACGCCGGAATCTCAGGTCGCTCCCAGCAACATTCACACGTCGAGCCCAGCCTGTTGTCAGGGTGATGCCATCTTTCTGATCTGCTCTACTCGTGGTTTCGGGATTGGTCGGATGACGGATGACAGCGATTCCATAGATTTTCTGCACTCTACGAGGCATTATGCACGTCAACCGAAGTTACTGCATGACGCAAGAGATCATCAGGTGCAGGCCTATGGGGCAGAAGAAAGATCGCCAGGTTCGACGAGCTTTACATGGTAATGGAGATCTGCGATTCCGACTTGAAGAAGCTGTGCCGCACGGACCTCCCGCGTTGCACTGACTCAGCGGCAAGTCTTGGGGTTCTCTGCTAGGATTTTCCTTGTACTTTCCCGCCACATCTACCCATGCATCGAGGTCTCAGGCTCCAGCGTATCAGCATACCAGCATTCTGCTCTCAAGCATGAGGGGCCAACCTCGTGTCCCTCCAGGACGTGACTCTGACCCCGCTCCACATCAATACGCTGTTGTACAACCTACTCGTGGGGCTGAAATACCTGCATTCCGTCCGTGGCCCAGGGATCAACCATGATTCTGACCATGCCTGTTGTGTGTCTCTTCTACGCTTTGAGAAGTCGAGACGATGTTTCCATTGGGCTCGAGCTAGGAGGTGCTCAAAGTTGGGTGCACCGCTTGAAAATCAACGCAGCACGACATTCCTCTTTTGCTGATATGTCCGAGCAAACTTCACGAGGACTTCGCTTCGCTGAGAGCAGCAGATTATCCAAAGCCCGCTCTTGAACTCTCTCTTCTGAAAGAAACAGCTTGATTTTCTGCTGCCAAATCTAGATGAAGTTGAGCACAGATCCACATGCGAGCCGACAGCCTGAACACAACTCTAGAAGTGCATGCAACACCCTTTCTCCACCACAGCCAAGCACGAAAGCCCTTGATGTAGAAATGCTCCAGAGATCCGAGGCCGGCATCTACCACCGAGATTTGAAGCCGGCTGCTGCCCTAGTGGGCTCCTTCCGGCTTACACGGAAGAAGAGACACGTCTTACTGGAGGATTTAGACAGTCTCTGCAGTCTCTCCAGTCGATACTTGGCCCATGGAGCTGTGTGGGAAATTGGTTTCAGACCCTTGGTTCATGTTGCGACTGCAGGTTTGTAAACACACAGTGGGGTGTTGTTGCAATGGTGTTCCGGAAGTGTCCGGTTGTGCTGGTTGTGCTCCATGCTTAAATGCCACGTAGCAGTGCATGCCTTCTCCTTTCCAACCTCCAAGAGACAGATTTGCCCGGACTTTCTGAATATGACTTCTTCCAGAAATTCATGCGAGCATATGGCGTATACATGGCCTCTTCACGACAGGGCTGGGCTTCGAAGCTTGGGTCTATTTGCCGCCGGGGGCCTTGGCGCCAAACTCGTTACCGAGGCCAACTGCCTCGTCAACCAGGATGTCAGAGCTCGACGGCTTTGCACAAATCAAAAAGTTGAATGTGTCAAAGTTTCATCGTACAGGCTTTGATGGTAACATGTGAGCAGTTCAGAGTTTCGGCGGACAAGGGAATGCAGGCGAGAAGCACCCATGGCCTTGAAGTTCTTGAGTTCGCAATGTGGGCGGCTTATCACCTGAAGTTGGAAAGTTCTCACAAGAGCAATCTGAACCCTACACTAAAAGGGGGAGATATGAATTTATCTGTGCAGTTTGCTACACTTTTGGCAAGATGTCATTGAACCAACACAATACAATGGACATCTGAAAGCCCATATCAAACATGCACGCCGGCAGGACTGCTCCGTGAAGATCTGCGACTTTGGCCTCAGCCGCGCCATCGAAGCAGCAGAGCAGCCACATTTGCATGCGCCCGGGGACCCGAGCCATGGTGCACGGGCTCTTTGACAGTTGAAGAAATGACGTGTGCCTTTTCTTTCTGGGGAGCTTCCGGCTTGTCTTTGGAGATCTTGGTTGCAACTGGCAAGCTTCAGGCTTGGTGATACGAAACTGCAGACTTGAGGGGCTCGGTAAAGTAACTCAAAAGGAGGGTTAGGTAGATTTTGGAAGGCTCCGATAAGTGCTGTGGGCTTCTCATCACCCCCACAGTGTTCAACCGATTCATGGCCTTGAACTACTCAAAGCCTTCTACAAGGAGGCGCTTGCGATTTGCATTTTACATCTTCCCTGTTTCTCAAGCACGCAGCGAGTCGCCCGCAAGGCATCTGGGCTTTAGTCGTAAATCTGGTGTAGTTCTTGGTGTGGGCATAGGCCAGGTTCCAGCACGGAGTCCTGAGCCCAAAGCTTCCAAGTAGCACTGCAGAAACTGCCCGAGGAATCGCTTCAGCGCAGACATTCCAAAGAGTCCGTTTGTTTACCGTCTCTCTTCCTGGCCATGCGCCTTTCCGAGTCATGTGCCCGCAATCTGAAGCGTGATAATCCTTAGCGAAATCCTCTCACTGACTCTAACTGTCCGCCAAGCGCCCTTTTGCCCAGCGCCAAGGCTTCCAAACACGCCGCCGACTCAGCGCTTTCCGAAAAGTCACCTCGAGGAATGGGGAGATTTCAGAAACCTGGGCGAGGTTTCTCTTAGAAAAGGGGGGAGTCTCGCTTAAAGGTGTTCCGCTGAAAGGTCCCGATCGTTTTCGTTTCAGTGCGGATCTGGGATGACAGTCAGTGAACCATTGTCTGAAAACGCTCGAAGCATCACAGCATGAAAGCATTCCCCAAAGCTTTCAACTGCGAATGCGCCCAAAGGCCGTAGGAGCCCCAAGCCTTGTAACCGCGATACCACGTTCTTTCGTGGAAAGCCCTGCGGAAAGTCGTCAGAGAGAGATTTCGGAGATTCATTTTGCCCCTGGGAGCCTCTGAGGCCACGGGGTGAAGGAGACCATGACGCCGGGATCTCAAGCGGAGCTTCTCCGAATGGGGGGGGATGTGTATATGGGGTCCTGCTACTTGAGGATATAAATAGCTTGGGTCCCTTACAGTCTGCCCTGCTTTCTGACACTCTTCTACCCTTCCTCGGGGAAGTTGTTTTCCGGTAGAACCCCGCACGAAAACAGGGTAGGCAGCCTTTGCAGCAACTTTAAAGCAGCCATGCGAAATTGGACACATCTTATGGGATGCTGCAATCAAGGATCCCACTTGATTGCAGAAGGCTGACCGTGCACTAGTCCATGATGTCGTTGACTCCGTGCTAAGACCTTCGCTCTGTTGGCCTCGGGCAGATCTTGTGAAAGCCCCATTCTGACCCGGTTACTCAGTGTTGAATCCACAGAGAGGAAGCGGGAGGGACGACCCGAATCAAAAGACCGAAAGCCCTGTTGCCGTGAGGCCGTGCCAGGGGTCCCGCACACACAGCGCCTCAAGAGGCTCCCAGTCTAAATGTGGCTTTGACTGACAGATGTCAGGGTGTAACTGTGAAATCCGGGGGTTCTGGGATCACAAGCCGCACGTTCAGCTAGAAGCGGGAGGCTCTCTGTCGGGGAGTTTCTACTGAAGTGCGCTTCTTGGCTTAGGTTTGGAGCCTTGCATCTAGGGATGGCACTCAAGGTTTCATCTGACTCCGCCAGTCTTCGTGTTTTCCGGTGCCTTCAGGAGGAACCAAGGCACTCCACTGTAACTGCCCATTGGGTGCCAGGACAGTCTCCCATTGCTTGGACCCGCACATTGCTCCCAAAACTTGATCTCGAAACCCTCTAAAGCCACTCGAAGCCTGACAGAGAACCTTCAACCACGCAGCCTGAGACCCAAGCCTGGAAGCGAAGTCAAGAACCATCGCAGGAACCTGACTGGACACGTGGTGACCAGGCGCCCCTTTCTGCCGTGTCATGAGAGAATTGCCAGGGCTCTGGCAAGACGTGTACATCTTGTGTGAAAAAAATGATTTGCTGACCTGCTCGCTTGCAGAGCAAACACAAAGCCGAAGCTGCTGAGAACCTTGTGCCCACTGCCGGTCAGTGCAGCATCAGGTACTGCTGCTGCTGCTGCTGCTGCTACTCCTCCTACTACTCCTACTCCTACTCCTACTCCTACTACTGCTGCTGCTACTACTACTACTACTACTACTCCTGCTGCTGCTGCTGCTACTACTACTACTACTTCTTCTGCTTCTGCTTCTACTTCTACTTCTACTTCTACTTCTACTTCTACTTCTACTTCTACTTCTACTTCTACTGCTGTTACTACCAGCAACAATAAGAACAGTAATTATAAAAATAATCATTACACCGACTGCGCCTGCTACCAGCAGTGCACAAAACACCAGAACTGCCATGTGCCTGCTGGGAGAAACCCGGTTTGCCAGGTGGTACCGAGCCCCGGAACTCATCCTGCTGCAGGAGAATTACACCGAGGTTGCGTTGCGGTTTTAATGTGGGGTTCTGTATGTTTGCGGGCTTCAGGGGTTGAGGGTGCCCCAGGCTTGGATGCTAAGCAAGAAGGTTCGTGGGTGTTGACTTCAAGGGTGTTCAAGCAGTTTGTGTGATGGGCTGTGGAGTTTGACAGGTCTGTTGCGTTCGGGATTTGGGGATGACACGCGTAAGGTCCTGGCGTTGCGCAATGATGACTCCAAGGTTTCAAGCTGTGCTTCGGAATCTGTCGCCTGCGACAACATCGCAGCAGCGCACTTTCAGTTAAGAAAGCGCACGGCGCCAGAGAGATTGCGAGCCTTTCGAAAGACGGGGATCCAATGTGTTCACTCCTGGAGCGAGAATCCAGTAGCAACTATGGTACGTGTTGCCTCATCGTTTAGAACAGACACCAGAGTCAAGCCTGAAAAAGACGATGGAAAGACCAGCCTGGAAAGGCGATCGACATTTGGTCGGTGGGCTGCATTTACGCCCGGGGCCCTCCAGGAATGCTCAGGTTTGGCCTTGGAGGAGAGGGCTTCCGGCAAATCAGTATCTCTTGGTGGACCAGGCGAGGTTCCGGCACCCTGAGCCCTAACCCTTACTAAGCCAATATCTCACTCTACACAGAATCTACACAGAAGCAGCCCTGAATCCCGGCTTCGAAGCCGCAAGCCTTCTGGTCTTTTCGCGCTCAGCCTGCAGCGACTTAGCCCTACGCTATTTATGCCCTGCCCGAGCCCACCCCCCTCCTCCCCCCCAGCCCACTCCCTTTTGGCTCCCGACAAAACGAAGGCCCGGGCCCAACACAAGGGGCCGATCCCTTTGGCCGAGGCGGAGCTTCTCGGAATGCTCGAGGGCACAAGGACCCAGGCAGAGAATCTCAAAGGGAAGCTTCAGGAGAGGGCTCTTCTTTTGGTGGATGTCTTGGTGACTTTTGGGTTTTTTGTAGGGCTTGCGGGTTCAGAGACATAGGACTCTGCAGTCGAATCATCTTGTGGCCCCGTGGCACGTGTTAGATCCTTCTTGTGATGTAGAAAGACCGAGAGTAGACCTAGCTTCCGCCAAACTCTCCTGCGAATACACCATGATCATCACCTCAGTGGCTGCGATAGCGAGTACAGTTGGCGGACAGTTCAGGGTTCTTTGGCGAAGCTCTCATGCCAGGATCGAGGGCCTCTGTTCCCGGGCTCGTCGTGCTTCCCATTGTCGCCCGATCACAAACACAAGTGCCTTGGATGAGGTTTCTGGTACCGTCAATGCGCAGAGGAGAGATACACAGCTTGGGTCTCTAGGCCGTTGAGAGAACTGTCAGGGAAGGGAGAGGCTGGGGCAAACGGTTAGGCAGATGTCCAGCTTGAAGCTTCCTGGTCCATTCTGTTTCACAGCATTGGGAACGGAAGATTGATGAACCTGGCATGCCCGCCGGGCTTTTGCAATGCCCTAGTGTCACGTATTGTCTAGCAGGCAGCCACACCTCCAAGATTCAGACGCGCTTCCCCTGCTTGCACACCACGCCGAGGACGGACTACAAGTATCACACGCCCGGCGCCCAGCTTGCCGTGCTTCTTCATCTGGATTGGAGCTAGGGCAATCATGGAAGGAAAGGGGCTTCTCCACTCCCAACTCAAGACCTTCTCTTGAGGAACCATTGTGGTCTGTCCCAGGCGAGGGAAGCACGACCAACTGAACATGATTTTCAACCTCCTGGGCTCCTTGGCTTGGATCAGGGGAGTCTTAGGGTTCTGTCTCGTAGGTACCAGTCCGGGCCGCGAGCATCAAGGAATGCTTCTGCCGTGCCTGCAGGAATGCCCAACATGGAAAAAAGACACAAGCTTCGGGTGTTCAAAATCATGGGAAATAGGTCTTGAACTGAAGATGACCTTTGGCAAGGATTTGAACAGGCTTTTAGACACACCTGTCTTGCAGCACTGGTCCTTGAGCAACCGCCAGGCACGCCAGGAGAGCCAGATGTGGAGCAGCTAGAGCGGGAAGACGCAAAGAGGCCACGGAGCTTGGTCTTTGGCTGAACAGGGGTAGTTACGATGGTGTTCGGGCGAATGGGACAGGCCTTGGAGCACAGCGTATGGATGCGGGGTAACTCTGCTCACAACAGTGTGTAATGTGCCGGTGCTCATGCTACGAGTTTAGCTCATCTCGACTTCTTGGTATGACGAGTCTTGCTGACCATGAAGACCAGGTCGGTAGATAGTGAAGCTATCACAGACTACTCCAGCCACGAACAAGTTGCACGTAGCACACTGCCACTTACTCATCTGCCCAAGCAAGCTCATGGCTGGAGCAATGGCCTTTGCAGCCTGGGAAAGACTAGGTGCTGGCAAGCATATAGGGTGCATTACCATGTCTCCGAAGTGGAAGCAACATTCTGCGGCGTGAACGTCGGCGTTTCCTGCGAAGCCCTTCACATCCCAAGAGGCCCAGAGCAAGGTCTGGTTGTCTGCATGTCGGCGCGACAGAACGGAGGCTTCAAGGTGCAATCCTTGCCACTAAAAGGCCGGCCCCTCCCCGGAAGATGATTCAGAAGCTCCTGCGTCCTGCAAGTGGTCTTTCGGTAGCACCCTGCCGCTGAAGGTACATTCGTTGCTTCGCAGCGTGCAGAGCCCAGTTGTCGCTGTGTGTGCTGCCTTTGTGCTTGCATGAGGTAGCTTGTCCCACTCGAAACTCGGAGCCGCCAAGAAATCGCCACAAAAGCCTAAGCCAAGTCTAGCGAAGTTCGTCGCCACAGGGCCTTGGCATCTTAAGTAAGATGAAGAGTTGCGCATGCGTACAACACGTCTATCCCAGGCGCGATGGCGACGGGTTGAGCGTGAAATTCCCCGGGGTGGAGGCTGGGATCCTCAAGCTTGTGCCACTTAGCTGGTAGGACCTCGGGACTGGGCACTTCGGTACCTTTTCCCCAAAGCCCAGGTCCCTCAACTCCCCTGCAGGCATGTTCGGTTTTGTAAAGGTTTCCCGCGTGGGGCTTCTGGGCAGAGCCAGGCAGATTCCATTGACATCCTGAACCGCATGCTGCGGTTCAATCCCAAGGACCTTGGTCGGGCCCGGGGGAGCTTTCAGAGATGGGAAGGCGGAGGGCTTTAGAGATCTCTAGCTTTAGGAAGCTGACGAAGCAGAAGGCAAGCCCGACCGGAGCGAGATTCTGCGCGAAAATTCCTGCCTGCCCCAGGACCGCATTGCAGTCACCGAAGCCCTGGAGCACAGGCGGGCCTCGTGGAGAAGCACAGGGCACATCAGCATCGTACGTGTTGGGGACTGGTTCGTACTGCACATGACGAGACATGTCGCGACGCAACTCAAGGGCCATGCCACTTTCTAAAACTGCAGGACTGTGTTCTTTCTGTCAGACGAAAGCTCCCTGCCTGGGCTGCATGCTGCATCTGGTTCATTCGGCTGGTGGAAACGCCCCTCGTGTTTCTTCTCTGTGTGCAGGTTGTTCACGAGCGGACCGAACGTCATCCGTGACACCTCCAGGGAAACGCTCCTCGACCAAGGTATGTTCAGCTCGTGCGAATTTGGGCATAGTTGACGGTTGTAGCTGAAGCATGACTGCGCACGAAACCCACTCATGACCTCAGACAATGCTGGTTCGGGATTTGTTCTTGGGCCTTTGCTGTGAACATCCAGGCGGGCTTTCGCAGAACGGTATCGGATCAAAATTACCGCTTTCAACATGAGCTAGGGCTCATCAAAGTGAGGTTTTGCGGCAAGGCATCGGCCTCATGGTTACAACGTTTGGTTTTGGCCGTAGACCTGAGGAATGAAAGGGACAGAAATGAACCTAGCACAGATCTATAGGGTTTCAATTGCGAACGTTGTGGATTGGGGTTCTTCCTGCTCGGAATTTTTCAGGTGATTTGAGAAGGCAGAAGGCACTTGGTCGCCTTTCCTTGCGTGAAGAAGCTGGGTGTCAGATTTGGCGATGCTGGCTTTTTTCATGGCCTCCGGCGCCGCATGCAAGTCCAGAACTGGAGGTTGTGCACCGCTTGATAAATTTAAGCATCGGAAGCAAAAACCGAGGTCTGCACCGAAGTACGTCACACTGGAATTCGAAAAGGCCAGCACTTGCGGGTTTCCTCGTCTAGGCCGCCCATGTGATGACACCAGCCCCACCCCGCTGTGAAATCCACTGGCCAAGCATGAATGAAAGCGACGCTGCCCATGCCAAAAGCACAGCCAGTCATCAAGAAGCCTGAGCAGCGGGCGATGGTGTCATGACCACCACCATTGATACAGTGCCAAGAAGTGAACGGTAGTGCTGAGCTCCTGATTCAGAAAAACAAGAGATCGAGGAAGAAGGATTCAGACAAGAACGATCCTCTCTTATCGCTCTTGCAGGAGCCAGACCTGGATGAGAAGCTCCTCAGGAAGTACTTTTGCAAGGCCCGGCTCGGGCTGCGGCATGGGTTTGGGGCTTCAGGTGCCCCTGCCTGGTCCAATCAAACTCTCTGCTTGTTGGCGGTCGGTTTCAACCGGTGTCCCTGGAAGCTTTGAGGCTTTAGGAGCCTGCCTTTCAGCGCTTAGCTTTTCTGTTGGAGTTCTGTCTCGTTTGACAAGGTATGTGCTGTGAATAGGAGCAGACCTGCTGGCCCGTAATGCCCGCCAACGCTCGCAGCAAGGCCCAGATCACGAAAGATCCGCCATCCCCGAATAAGCCTTCACTCAAAGCCTCAGCCTGCAGGAAATCAAGAAGTATCATCCGGAAATGCCGGATATGTGAGCTCCTTCGAGCGATCGGGAAGGTTTTGCGATCCGCACCCCTTCGCCTTTCTGGAGCTCAGCTAGGCTTAGGCTTAGATCAGATGAGCTTTTTCGGGGCGGCTAGCGATCGCAAAGCCCAGCCCTGCTCTACAGGGCGTCTGCCACTGGTATTGATCAGATAAAACGGACGGTAATGCTGATGCACCACCGGGGACCACACTTTGTCACCAGGATATGGCGGCGAGTGCTTCTATCATAAAAACACAACGTTACTGGCATTTATGGCGCGTGATATATAGCAGTATGCTGAAAGCCATTTTGGAAGTTGTTACAAGAGAAAGCAAGCAGAGAAAGACCGATCAGAAAACACCTGCCCAAGATCGTGGAAGCAGTAGAACCCATGTCGTAGCCGTCGTGGTCGTAGCCGTAGTGGCATGTAGTCGTCAGTCATTGTCGTCATCGTAGCCGGAGTAGGAGTAGGAGCTGAAATCATGAAACAGGGCGGGCACTTATGGCATCAACACGAGAATCACCCATGAGATGCAAAGCCACGCCACGGACACTGTCAGAAGTTTCAACCGTACGGACATTAGTGTAGCTAACGACGTCATCTGCAGCTCCGCCACTGCCAACATGATGTGGCTTGTGCAGGTGCCCCCATCCTGCCCCGTTTGCGACACGATCCACTAGCAGAATCACAGTGGTGCCTCCGAATCAGAAGCCCTGAATCTGAATATCTCTCCAGCCACAAGGGCTTTGCCATGTCTGGCAGCACCGCGAGCAGAAGGCTTCCATTCAAAGTCGACATTCTTCGGGCTTAGGAGGCAGAGCTAAGCAGGCGCTTCATAAAAGTAAACATTAAACACCTGCAACCCACGTCCTGTGCTCGCACTTTCTAGCAGGTGCTCATGTTGCCATCAGGCGCTGGCCAATTGCCATGATAGCTTCTCGTGGAATGCGAGTCTTGCCTTCAGGGCCACTACATGATGCTAGCGATCAGGACTTATCTTCGTGCACAGCTGGAACCCTAGAAATCCAACACGAACCTGCTGCTGGTTGAAGCCTGGAAGCCTTCTGCACTTCCTGGCTGGACAGCGGGCAAGTCATAGATGAGGCCTTCCGGGTTATGGTTCGTTGTCTTGTCATTAACGACCACAACCAGCCATATTTGAGGGATTGTGTTTTAGGGTATCAGAGGCGGCTTAACGGTTTTAGATCAGTGGACTTCTCTATGGCTCTATGGTGTCTCAGCTGGGGCCATCTTTGTGTACGGAATGATGAGGGTTTTGTCAAGCTTCCGGCTAGCGCAGGCAACATCTAGGGTTTCGCCTGGGGCTTAGGGCCCAGAGCGGCAAGTACCTGCTTTCCTTCGGCCCCTGAGACTTGTTGAGGAGGGGATCCTGCAAAGTACGAGTGCCATCCATAACTCGTTGTTTTGTTGATGAGATGTTGCTAACGTGTGCAGCAGGTGAAGAGCTGGACCTGCGTCCCAAAACAAGGCCTAGTTTAGAAGATGCCGTATACGATTCGGCACCGCCAGGTTGTAGGGAAAGACAACATGACGGGGCAAGACCGTTGTTCAGTGGTGAAAAGAAGAGATACAAGCAAGTAGTCAAGCAAATTGCAAGGCCACCCATGCCGCTGTCCAGAAAACATCAGGTGTGTGAAAGCTTCGCCTCGACACTCCCTGGCTGTCCATACGAAATATTGAAGTAGCTGCAGCTTTCTGAGTGCTGCAGACTTTACGGGTTGTACTTGCTGTAGTCCCGTTAATCTCGAAAGAACAGGTCCGTACTCGTCCATGTCTCAAGATCTGGTGCAAGCCTCGAAACTTTTTGTGCTTTTTGGCCGTGAGTCGAGCAGGTAGTTCCCTACACCACCACGCATTCATTTTAGTTCGGCAGCCGGAGCTTCAACGAAGCATGGTTTGTGGCAGACATCTTTCGCATTTCCCTCTTGCAGCGTCACGAGGCTACGTTGCAATACAACCAGGCAGGCTTTGTTGTAAGGCCAATGGTTGCCTGGAACCCCGCATGGACCCCAGAAGACCCCGTAGAACAGCTCATCGCTACTTCTGGACATCATGTCTATGATAGTCTATGTAAGCTGCTGCATTATCGAAGTATGATGTGCCCGCATTAGGGATGCTGAGTCAGAACGTGGCCCCACATTGGAACGAAAGGTTACCTTTGATCCGTCCGTGTGCTCGCAGTGATACGAAGGATAAATTTTCGGGGGGCGATTAAGCTCCAATACTGGATCAGATCACATTTCGACGTCGGTACGATCACTGTACAATGTACCCCCACTACCCTCGAACTCCTGAACAGACTCGCAAGCATGTCAAGTAAAGAACCCCAAACCATAGCTGGGCTTTGGCAGTCTGGGGGCTTAGTCTTTCGGGAACCTGGTGGCCACGCTCCAAAGCTTGCATGACTACTCGGAGCCGCAGCGGATGCAGGATTGCAAATTTGACCCTTGACGGGCCTTCGGTGGCAAAAGGTTCGGTTTCGTAGCCTGTGGGTAGCCGGAGGTCTGCCTTCACGTGATCACCTGCTCAGCCCTGTTTGGTGAGATGAGAAGACGCTCTTGAGCTGTGCTCGCACGGCTGGTGGCTCAAGCTACATTCACTGCGAGAGATTTTGGAGATGCGAAGTCGGCGGGCTCGCGCCCTCCCGATTTACACTGTCACCAAGGCCCTCATACTGGCACGCTCGATACGCTGCACGGTACCATGCAGCTTATAGGCCTCGGATCCAAGCTTCGTCAAAAATGAGCGCCAAGCGAGTACAAAGTGAAGCTAAAGATTCAGGTTTAGGGCCTTTAGGGTCCAAGAACTGAGCTTGCTGAAAACCTGTCGGGGGTGCCTGCCTTTGTTGGTCCTTCCGTGCCGCCATCACCACTTTGCCAGAGGGCCCTTTGATCTCATTTGGAGCCGCGAGGAAGCTGATCTTGTTGGCGTTTGGGTTCTGGGTTGAACCTTCTCTGGTTTGGACATCCTTTTTCCGACCTGCGGGCGGAAGGTTTGGTGAGCACTTGGAAGTTCGAAGCAGTGCAGTCCAAGAGGTCTTGTGAAGATTCGGTCCCAGACATGCCCAAGAAGAGCTGACAGCCAAACAGATAGGCCATGCGCCGTCTAATAGCCCAGAAACCAAGACCCGGATAGCCCGCAACCTCAGACAACCCTGGTCTGAAGCTCCAAGCAGTTCAAGTGGCAGATGCTGCAGACGAGTCCGCCATAGCCCAAGCCATGTGAAATATCACGTGGACCCGGTTGGGCATATTCTTGCTTCGCTTCGGTATAGATGATCAGTGAGCACAAGCCATAAGTCGGATTTCAGACGAGTCTTGAGTCCGTTTAGGCTTCATGGGCTTGTCAAGCACATGCCGCATAGGTCTGCGCAGCATCCTCATCAGCCTGAGCAAGTTGGGCGAGTGTTTCCCGGTTACAAGCGCACCAACCAGAGTCGTCGCTTTCGCATTCCACCTGACCTCCGGGCTGCAAGTGTTTCTTGTCCGCCCGATGTGGTTGCCTTGCTGTCAGAGTCGAATTCAATCATCGCATGCAGTATGAGGCAATGAGACTACGAGTTCTCAATGGCTTAATTTGACAAATCTGCCGCGAACGATGTTCCTGTTTGTGGATGGCATGCGCACGTGCAACACCTTTGACCTTGCCACTGAGGTTGTAGAACATGCCTAGCAGAGAGGGTGGCAAACAGGAACATAGGAAGGATGAACACGGTAGTAAAAGCCGTGAACCTGGCGTGGCCTCAAGTGCCGTCACGTGGGCCACAAATGAAAGTATCCTTTCGGATAACCGTCGGGCCGCAAGCCTCGCCGTCTGCACGCCCAGAAGATGAACTTGCCGGCTGCAAATGAAGAGCTACTAAACTTACCTGGAACGCGGCAACATTGGATGAACCGCCTCGTGCGTCGAGAGGCTCGCTTCGGTGCGAAGGCTTCTAAGAGATCTAGCACGACTGCGAGTCTGCGAGACTCCTCTACAACGGAACACAACTAAACGTTTCGGGTTCGTCTCCCCTTAACAGGAAGGCTTAACTTTATGGGCTATAATGTACCAACTAAGCAGCTTAACTGTTACACAAGGCGTGTGCTTTCTCCAGTGTAGGCATTGGCTTTTGAGCCTTGCAAGGTTTCGCAGGGACGGCAGTTCGGTCAGGGCTTGGTTTTTGAGAGCCCATGCGCCTTTGTGATGGGGTCCTATGTCAAGGCACACCCACGCTATCACGGCACAGCCTCTTTCCTCTGCGGTTGATGCTGCCATCACCTTCTTCAGAGTTTTTTGGCTCGAGCACTGGGCCCCGTCACCTCTCCAGAATGCGAAAAGCCGCCTGGCAGCAATCAGGCTAGCTTCCTTTCACAAGATGGAAGAAGTTGAGCGCCTGGCTTTCCAGGTGCTCATCCTCCTCATTCCTTTGGGCTTCGCCCAGGACGAGAGTTTCGGTGGTTGGGGTCAGTGGCCGTACTCTAAAATTGTATCCAGCAACGTAGGTCCACACGCGATCACCTGATTGCATAGAGCCGTCGAGCTGTCAACTCGGAAGCTGGGTGACATGCTTGGCGAAATGAGGCCTGAGCTAGCCCTGTCAGTATGCATGCAGGAGCCCCACCTTCACTTGGATGACGAGTGCGCAGAGGACCGTACCGACTGCGCGTTGACCGCCCTGCAACACCGAGGCAGGAGCATCGTGGCGTCAGAAGTAAAAGCTCGGCTTGGCTCCTCGTTGAAGCCCGCTGTTGTTGGCAGGTGTTCTGACCCAGAAAATGGATTGCCACACAGCGGTGCAAGGAGAAGGATGCTTCGATGAGGTGGAGCGTAGACAGTTGAACTGACTGTGACAGTGACTGCAAGCTGAAGGTGACTTGGGCACGAGAGGTCGGCCTCCGCCGGATGGCCCAGCGAGAGAAGAGAGAGACAGAGAGAGGGAGAGCCAGAGAGATAGCGAGAGCCAGAGCCAGGGAGCTGAGGGAGGGAGATAGAAGGCTTCAACAGTCAAGCAAGCGCGTTTGCTCATACTTGGCCGAGGCACGCACCCCGACTGGTACCCGGGTCTCACTGCGAATTCTTCCGTGGTGGCCTTGGTTAGCGGGACGGACGCCTTTTAGAGGGAAGGGTCTTTGCCGAGGTGGCGGACTTCCAGCTCTTGATTCACGATCAAGTTCCAGGTGGAGTATCAAGAAGCTGAATCCACTCAGTGTCCGTCTCAGCCTGACAAGGCAAATGCCCGATACCTTGTGGTGCACTGCCTCGACCTCAGAGTTTGAGCTCGGCTGTCGATCTTCTCATAGTTGCAGTTCACCGAGGCCGCGCCCGAAGCGGCCTCTTGCGGGCGGCCTCTCTGCCCCCGCAGACGATGGTGGAAGCGTTACCATAAAGGCTCGTGCCTGCAAGGATGAATTTCTGCGACCATTATTTGCCTGGTGGTAGTAGTAGTAGTAGTAGCAGTAGCAGCGGAGAATAACTTCCGTGCTTCGGTTTTTCACCACATCGTGGGTGTTGATGGTTGCATGTTGCAGACACGTGGAAGGCGAAAATCTCATGGACTTGTAAACGAACTGCGAGCTTTGTTGCTTGCCTGTCAACATGAGACTCGTCACCAGACTAGCGCTCCCACCATGGCGGTGGTAGTAAGTAAGCTTGAGGACTACCAGCTTTTCGTCCCCTAATGCGACGCCCATCCCGGAGCATGTTTATCATGGATGTTCTGCTCTCGAACGCAATAAATAGACCATGGGCGTCACTAGGTTTTGGGCATGGATGCTCTGTTTTCAAAAGCAGTAGACCATGGACATCATGGGCATGGATACTCTGTTCTCAAACGCACTCGACCATGGACTTCATTAGGTCTCAAGCGCACTAGACCAGGGACGTCATTTGGTTTTGGGCATGGATGCTTTGTTTGCGATCGGGTTTTGGGCATGGAAGCGCTGGTTTTAGGCTTTGCAGATGTATGCTCTGTTTTCAAAGGCACTAGACCATGGACGTCATGGGCATGGATGCTCTGTTGTCACAACGCACGAAGCCATGGACGTTATTAAGTCACAAGCGCACCAGACCACGGACGTCATTAAGCTCTTTGGGCACGGATGCTCTGTTTTCAAACACACTAGACCATGAACGTCATCAGGCTGTGGGCATGGATGCTATACTCTGAAGCGGTTTGGATGAACTGCATTCTGATCGCTAGTCCTTGGGCACGACAGACCTCAAAAAGCAGCATCCCAAAAACAAGAAAATCTCAATTGCGAGCGCTGTAAATACCAGCATTTTTGGCTGCAAGATTGAAGAGCAAGGTTCGAAAACAACAAGAAAATTACAAAAAACACGTTGTTTCCGCACAACAACAAACTACCCCTCCCCAGAAAATTCATAAACCCCAAGCCTTCCGAAGGTGTTGAGCTACAACCTGTTCTGGTGGAACCTCTATGGTGTCCGCGGCGGTAATGGGGAGAGTGCCGGCCACCTGATCAAAGCTGAGACCGTGGAGGACGCAGAGTTTCTGCCTCCCTTGTGTCTCCAGCTGCAGCCATCCAAACATTCCAGGACGGGCTCTTCGATGTCATGGGTTTCCAGGAATGTGAGAATGGCATCCGTGTACTGGAGCCGGCGCGGTATCTGAAAGGACATTGCACCTTTGTGTGCAGGTGTCCTGTGTGCATTGAGGTGGGCTTGATGGACCGCTATGAAGTTCTGCAAGGCTTGCGCCTTGTGCTTTTTGAGCCAGGGAGCAGGCGTCGCCATGCGCAGAATTCTGCAGCAGGTATGCACGCCGTGTGCCTAGCCTACCGGAAGGATGCCTGGAAATTGCTGTCAAGAGGCAGCAAGGACGTTGGGGAGGACTTGGTCGCAGGTGCTTTGGTCCTGCATTGTTCGACTTGGCTGGTCCACAGCAGGATATGAAGTCCCACTACTACGGACACCGCGGCGTGGTCTGGATGCGCCTTGTTCACCAAACCACTGGCAGCCACTTAACTTGCATTGGACTCACGAGTGAGACACGCCTAAGCACACTGAAAGTTTAATTTTCGGATTTGTGCTGCAGATTGGTGCTTTCCTCCGCTAGGAAAGCTACTTTTCGCCAACCACCACGGGCCGCTGGAGGTGAACTCGGGTGGTGCCCGTGGCGGTGACTCCATCGCCAAGAACCTGATAGAAGTTCTTCGGAGCAGTTCCGAACCAGGCTGAGCAAAGCATACGAAGGCACCCGCCTGTGCAGTGTCAGCACATGCAGGGGATTCCATCATACTGGTGGGAGACTTCAACGCCAACTCGGCGTCGCGCACCATCCAGGACACCGTCATCGGCAGCAATGTGTGCGGTGTCGTGACGGTTTCGGGGTGCCGTAGCGAAAGATGCAGGAATGCTGGATCCCATAACATACACTCTGAAGGATCCATCCCAAGCACTTGCCTCAAACAGGCTCTTTGGTCCCGGATGGTGCTGCTCTATGGCGGTGGATCCTTCGGCGGAGTAGCACCTTGGCTTAGCATGCTCTGAAACAGCGCAAGACTCGCCCAAAAGACCGAGAGCCTCAGCAGCCTTGAGAGCTTATAAGAGGACAACATCTTCGGCAACATGGACGCGGCCTCCGTCGTGCGACGCAAGAATCTGGGCAGTGGAGGTGACCAGACACAGAGGAGACTTTTGGAGAAGGCCGGTCGCAGGCTGGAAGGTCGGTAAGTTCGACTTTGTCCGGAATCTTTTTGGGGTGCAATGTCTTTTCAGCTCTTCCGGGCTTGCCTTCCTCCTTCATTCTTCCTCTGTGTGTGCCGAGGCAGTGACCACGATGCCATTTCAGTGACGGTGTCCTTGGGAACACCAGCGCGGGAGCTGCAGAGGCTGGCAAAGGAACATCCGCACCAAACGGGGCCTGCACTTTCGGCGGTACCGGCTCAGGTCCCCGCTCCGAACCGGCGAGGTTCCGAGTGCTGCCCTGCAGGCGAGGACGGAAAGCAGCCGAAGTCTCCACAGGCCGCTTCGAATCTCAAAGCGAGGCAACGGATGCGCTGAAAGTGAATCCGCCCGGCGACGACTGGCAGCATTTCTGGTGTGGACAGCTGGAGCCAGATGTGGGCTATGCGCCTCAGCAGCTTGCGTTGGGTTCACTTTCGCAGCCATGCAGGGTCTTTTTCAAGACAGGTACCTCCAGTGGGCAGCTGGTCCCGAGTGATCAGCCACCGACCTGAGCTGGGTGACGACTTCGATGTCGCAGCCCCGCAGCGCTGCTGCCGTCTTTGCCAGCGAGAGCCCAGGCTCGGCAGAGGAGTTTCAGCCGTGCCGAGATGCATCCTCAGCAGTTGCCTGGCAGGTGCAAATCGTGGACCTGGAAAGAGGGAGGGCCTCGACGCTGCGAGATGTATGGAGAAGTTACTTACCAGCAGCTTTGGGGGTCTTGTACCAGTAGCTGCCCAGATGGAAGGCGTAGTGCAGTGACGCATGCACAAATACAAGAGGCACGCTTGCAGAGAATCAGCACCGACGATACCATCGCAACACATGGTCGTCGTCCTCACAGTCGCAACAGTAGTAGTGCTCGTGTAAGTGTGTGGTGAGGATAGTAAGTAGTAGAAATTGTGGCAATAGGTGGCAGTAGGTGGAGCATCATTATCATGACCATGATCAATAACCTTCACGACCAGCATGTTTATTATGATAGGCACTGTGATGATGTGGATGAAGATGGGTGTCGACGACGGCTTTGATTGTGCAAGAATGACAGTTATGGTGATGATGATGGAAATGTAGATACAGTTCTTCAAAGGAAGCCATAAAGATGCATTGGAAAGAACAGTGGCGTTGGTAAAGAAACGACATGTTGCAAACTGCCAGTAGAAGCATGGTCATTGTAAACAGTAGTCGATTTTGGGATAAGCAGTTGGCTTGTGGTTCCGATTGCCAAGGCCCCAAGCAAGAAGGAGTCGTTGCCCGGCCATGTCTCGGGGCTGCCAGCCGTTGAAGCAGCCACAGAGGCAGGTTTGCATGAATTTTTCCAGCCCGGTCTTGTGCATTCAGTCTGGAAAAGCCTGGTTTCAAACAGCTACACGACTGCCCACCAATCTATGAAAAGCAACTTCAACACATCTTGCTGGATTCTGTCCAATTCTGATGATCAACACCCGTTTCGTGAGACAGGCCGTCCAGGCAGCAGCTGCTGCACTTCGATCCCTGCCAAGTCCGTGAGGGCGAATCCGATGTGAAACACACACACACACAGAGCCAAAGTTGCGATGTAGGTTCAGGCAAGCATTGAGGATTAATCATAGATGGTCCGAAAACATTTGTATTGTTGTAATTCACTTTGGACAGTGGTACACGTCAGGTTGATTGTAAGTTCTCGAAGCAAGATGATTTGGCACAAACATGAGCAGCAGTATTCCTGATCAGTTAACAATTTTAATGCAGGTTGGGTGTTGCCTTCGTGCTCCAGCCTTTCACTGACAGTGTTTCGTAAAGCGTCAGATCACTGGGTCGGTAATTTAGGCTCGTGGTGTGTTCATAAGCATCACGTGCTCGTTTCAGAAAGCCATACATCAACTTTGTAGCCTCCGCTCGCCACAGTTGCTGAGCATATCTTGCTTGTAGCAGCATTCTGAATGCCAAAGGCAGCGCAGAATGTAAAATGAGGCGGTCTTCAGCATTTCAATTCTGAATTTTCATTTTTCAAAATTTGGCTTCTGGATTTTCTGGACCGCGTTATGTCTTGTCGTGATATGAAAATATTTCAATGGGAAGAGCACACACAAATTCGTGAAATGATTTCGTGAGATTCATTATTTATCTTATCCTTACATTCATTATTTTATTTCTGAAGCATACAATAATTTTCGTTTTGATTTCAATATAAATTTCTTTATTGAAATATCGATTATTCTATTTGTAAATTTGTCCATTACAATTATAATATGGGTTTTTATGAAAAAACGATGAAATATGTTTTAGTATTTCGTATTGAGTTTGCATGAGTACGTTGTTATGAGTGTTCGGATAGTGAATACGATAACATTCTATTTAATTTATCTGCGATGATTTATAAGAATCGAGGTTATTTAGCAGGTAATACATATTCTTCTATTTCGCGTTAAATCGATGAGAATATATTCAATTATGAAAGATATATTATATAATATCATTCGATATAGCATACGTTGAAATTTTTTTAGTTAATTCTGCGATAATAGTTTAGTTATATAATTCGGTAGCAAAAATTTAAAATATTATTATAATTATAAAATATTATTTGATAATTTTAATTTGAAATAGCGAAATCTAATATTTAATTCTAAAATAATTTTATTTTTTTTTCTTTCGAAAAAATTCATAGAATAACGCCGCGATTTTTATAAATTATTTTTAATCTAGACTTCAAGAAAATTTCATGATATATTGTATGTTTGCCGAATTTAACAAATATTTTCGAGCAAGTTTGATCTTTATTTGTTGATTTTTTGATATAATTAATAAATTATATTATTTTCATTATTTAATTCAAAATTTTGATAGTACGAGCTCCGGTGCTGATTTCTCTAAAAATTTTATAACTCATTTTTCTACCTCTGTATATATTTTTAAATGCTCGTCTTAATACATTTGTATTTGAAAGTTTGTTGTCTATTTATCATTAATATTAAATTTTCGAAAAATTTTGATATTACTAAAATTTCTTCTTCGATAACAAAAATTCTAGATTTATGATAATTTAAAATAATATCGCCATAAACGTATTTTGAGGCACCAAATTCTTAAGAGAAATCCACTCCACGTGGCAAAGGTGCAGAAATTGAGCTTCAGCTTGACTTGAATGTTTTTTCCGATGCACATTCTCTGTAGTACATCTACGTACCTAATTTTTTTTCTTGATAATTTCACGATTAAAAAATCTTAGTTATTGTTTTTCAGAAAAAAACATAATCAGATTCGCAGAATTCATCCGTATCTCTGTGTCCGTATCTGTCCCTGCGTCTTTCTATATTCGTTTTTGTCTGTGTATTTGTCTGTTTATTTGTCCGACTGTCTACTTGTCTGTCCCTATATACGCATCTTCTTGTCACGCTTTTTAATGATAATTTGGTTTGGATTAATCTAGTTCGGTAAATTTATAAGTCAATTTGGATATATGTCTCCGTGCTTCTTGCATTTGGAGAATTTCATCGTCAGCATTGGTAGTGCCTGTTGACGAAAATTTTTATGAGAACGTTCGAATTCATAAAATGCACGCGAATCAAAATCGATTTTACGCGCGTTCGATTCAATACGATTTTAAACCCACAAAAAAAATATACATCGTAACCAAAGAAATACTTGCCGTAGATATTACAAACAGACAAATAGACAGGCAAATATACAAGATACAAACAGATGGGGATAAAGATCGATAATCACACAAACAAATCCTTCTAAAAAATACGAAAGCAAAATATTATGAGACAGAATTTTAATTCCAATTCGATGGCAGCGTAATTATTTATTCAATTTGAGGTGTCACAAACAAATAACAAAACAGAAAAATGAAAAAATCGCCATTAACAGGATAATTTTCAATCCCAGCATGTTCAAATTTCAAAATCATATTTAAAATTTTGTGCATATAGATTGCCTGAAGCCCGCAAAAGTTCGGAAATCGAACTTGATTTTGTTCATCCACATAACGACATATGAATTTCAGTCAATTTTTAAAAGCAGACAAAAAAGATGCAGGCCGAGAGATAAACAAAACAGGTTAAAAACTTGCACCACTGGATTTGAGCAACCAAGATCATATGATCCTGTCTTAAGCGGTGCTGTGTTTGAACTGTCGCCTTCGTATTCTCGTCGTTTCCTGCACTATATGTCTGGCATGCAGCTGCCAGACATCTCCAAAGGAAGTCTATTGCAACAGCAGCATCTGCAACGGTTCAGTTTGTGAAACAGATGGGACACGCGCGAACAGGGACTCTGCAAAAAGTACTCGTAGAATATGCGGCGCATTGGATTTTATCATGTCGCTGGAAGCCCGATAAACAACGAAAAAAACTGAACGTCACTTCTGCGACGTAGGACTGACATAGAATCCAGCAAGACTCGCGGCTTCCTCCAACGTGGTTGAAATTGGCCCGCATTTGCCAAAAATCGAAGATTTATTTTTTTGTTATTGTTGTCAATTGTTTTGTTGCATGTGTTTATTACTGGACTTTTGATTTTTTTTATGTATGTCTCCGCCGGTCGCAATTTTTGTGATTGAATTGCTCTGAATGTATTTGATTCTGCACCTTTGTTTGATCCGTGTGTAATTGTGTGTTTGACTTCTCACCCGTTCCTCCATACTTGACTTGTTCGTTTGTGTCGTGAAAAGAAAAAAAAGCAAAGGAAAACACTAAAATACAGGAAAAAATAAAGAAGTTTTGTCGCCATTTTTTTTAGCACAGCAAAGCCAGCAAATAGCAGCAGTGGCGACTGAGAGAGTACGCAAGTAGGCGCATTCCCCTTCATGCGGCCCGTGCTGTGTTTGGATATTGCTTGAAGTGTGGTCGTACACGGAACAAGCCAAGCCGCCTTATCTAGAGCGATTATGCCTGGACTCACGTGAATTCCAATGGCGTTTTTCGGACGGCATCTTTTCCCTTTGTTTGTTTCCTACCACGAAAGAAACATAAAAAAGGAAAACGGCAGAACGTTAAAGCAAAATGCATTAAAACTTACAAAGCTTCATAGTAATTGCGGAACTGAACCCTTGCAGATCCTGCTCACAATCACTTCTTTACCCTGCTCTTTTCAGATGAAATAATGAAGAAAAGATGAGAAAACAAAAAGCACCCAAACTATCACCAAATACACTCACACCAGTGCACAGTTTCCAAGCCTGAAGCTTCTGATCAAACGTCGCAATCCACTCTGATTGACACGAGATTTGTGTCGCCTGCACACAAACCCAAATTCTTGCGTCATTTTTGAGATCTCCGGTTGAAGCGCTGCCTTCCATGCAATCTGTACGCAGGAACACTGTTCCATGTTTGTTCTTTTTTTTGCTTGTTTCCTATCGCGAAAGAAACACAAAAAAGGACGGAACACGGCAGAATGTTAAAAAAATATAAAACTCATAAAGCTTCATAGTTGTAGCAATTGCGGCACTGAACCCTCGCTGCCAATCACTTTTGCAGATGAAATAGTGCAAGAAAAGACGAGAAAACAAAAGCGACAATTGAAACCAAAAAGACACTGTTCCGAGAGAGTAACAATGAAAAATGAACAATTCAAAAAGAACCAAATAATGTCAGCGAATACACTCGCACCAGTGCACCGTTCCCAAGCCTCAAGCTTCTGATCAAACGCCGCAATCCACTCTGATTGAAACAACATTTGTGTCGCCTGCACACAAGCTCAAATTCTTGCGTCATTTTCGAAATCTCCTGTTGAAGTGCCGCCATCTGTCCCTATATTCGCTCAACTGCAGCCAAAAAGCGGGTAGTTCCAGCTCGCTACATGTACGCATTTACGCACTGGTTCTTGCACCTTGCGGCAACTGTGGAGGCCTTTTATGCAAGAGCACTTTTTTCCACGGTTTCCGGGCTCGTTAATGAACCCGCCAAACCGTCAAAAACTGTGGGCCACTCCATTGAGACGATTTCAACAGTTGTTGCATTTTGCTCCGACGGTTATTGTCGAAATCATGTGGGCACGCTGGATAGCGCTATTTCAAGCATGCTTGGTGCAGAGCATGGCATGGGGGGCTGCTGTCACAATCGTCTTCTTTACGGTTATTGCAGATGAAATAATGCAAGAAAAGAAAAGAAAACAACAGCACCAGTGCACCGTTTCCAAGCAAAAATTCTGATCAAACGTCGCAATCCAATCTGATTGAAACGACATTTGTGTCGCTTGTACACAATCTCAAATTCTAGCGGCATTTTCGAGATCGCCTGTTGAAGAGCTGCCTTCCAAGCAACTTGTCCGCTGCAACACTGTTCGGTGTTTTCTGTTCTTTGTTGTTTACTCTAGGCATCAAACAAAGTTGCAGAATCGAAAACTTCACAGGAAATATCAATCAAAAAACTCTAGCGACAACTGGAAATCTCGAAAATGACGCAAGACTTTGAGTGTGTGTGCAGGCGACACAAAATGTCGTTGCAATCAGACTGGATTGATCAGAAGCTTGCAAACATATTTGGATGCGGTTTGTGTGGAAAGCCTTGTGTGAGACAGTGTGGTCACAGGTTGCTTTGGAAAGTTCAGAGCCACAAGAGGAATTGGGACAGACTGCGTAGGCATAGAAACACATTTGCAGCCGTACAACGCAAAATCTATTTTTTCGAAAGTCTTCACCACAGAAATAATTATTTCGACTTCTTTATAAAATCAAAAAATATATAATATATACATTTAAATATACGATTAATTTCTTGAATTCTATTGACCTATAAATATATTACTATCTACATGCCCATTTATTTCTTTCTTTTTTCTTATTCTTTTTTTTTCGTTTAATTATATCGCTTTCTTCTTTCTTGCTTTTGTCTTTCTTTCTATTAATTGTCTTATTATTTTTAATATTTAGTTTTTGCTTAATTTTCGAAATATAGTTTCTTTTTATCGTGTATTTTTTTTTCTATTTGTTTAAAAATTTTCTCTTTAGAAAAATAAATATATCTACGGATTGCTATAAAAATAGACAAGTATATAATCAAATTTAGATCATGTTAAATTAAAAGAATAATTAATTTCAAGCCAATCATAGAATATTTTTTAAATATATTATCATGACCTTAATATTACAAATTACAGAAATCGCAAAAATTTTTAAAATTAATAAAATTATCTCAATTCCGATCAAGAAATTCCTTCGAAACTAAAATTTCCGAATATTTTATATCGCGAAATAAATTTATAAGCAATTCTCAAAGAGAAACACAATCAAAACCAACTCCACACATAAAAAAACCCTCAACCTCTATAGAAGACATGTACGTCTCTTTAACGAAATATTTTTTATTATCTTGACGAAATAGAAAATTACCCGTATAATATTCCCTAATACGACAAATACAATACGACTTATATTCTATCATTTTACAGAACACATTATGAATCCCTCTTACACGAATCTATTGAATCCCTCTTACACGAATCTAATCCTATAAATACGTAGAATACACCCATCCAAATGCATAAACCTAATTTTAAATTATACTGCCAAATGCTAGCTTCCTTATTTTCTTGTGTACATAGATTTTTAATTATGTTGTGTTTTGTTTGGAAAACTTAGTCGTCATCCTTTACCTTGGGATTTATAAAGATCGATGATTTTCCTGGCTTCTCTGATCGTCTTCGGATCATCATGATCCATGAGCTGGTGACGTATCTTTTCGTTTTCTCATGCTTTATAAATATTTCGTGCACCGCGACTCTTTCATTCACGACTTGTGACATCACAGAGTGGAGCTGCATACCGCTTTGCAGCTTAGTGGCAAGCAGCAAGACCCAGGTTCCGAAAACCCGCAAAATCCAGAAGCCGAACATCTCCACCGTAAACATTCCAAAAGCGGGCCACTATCGGCAGCTGCAGCATCCCACGGTGCAAAACAAAATGGGGCCAATTGCTGGCCCAACTCGCATCACTTAGAGAGCTCACTCACTCGGCTAAGCTTGACGAGAAATTAAACAGTTCGTTGTTGCCAGAACCGGAAAATCTTCCATCGGATGGTCAAAATCGTCGAAGTGGCTTCGGGCATTCCGCTGAAGTTCCTTATGACGGCCCTGCAGCAAGGACCCTTAAATTCAGGCCCTAGACCCACTATCTGATCTCAGGCCCGAAACTACAATGTCTACATGCTCTTGGGATCCCCAATGCATCTTTCATCGGCGACCGTGATTCCTGTTTGGATCCGTCGTCCTCAAGGTCTCCCTCATTGAATTCAGCTCGCGCCTCGACTCCAAGTCTCGCTTGGCTCTGCTCTATCACAGATATTTGTTGCAAACGACCAACTCTGGCTGGGATGCATGGAACGTAGAAAATCTCCTTGATGAACAAAAGCCCCATATCACACAGCACAGCATGTTTTCCTGCTGCTTTTGACAGCCCCAGGTTCACAGATGCTCCGCACATGCCGAAAACCGTGGACTCCACACATCAAAGCGCCTTGCCTGAGGCGGTCTTTCCTGACCGGACGCGGATGTCATCTGACGGTTCATAAGCTCTCATCGAGACGTTAAGCATTTGGCTGGCCTGGTGTGTTTGGGGTTGTAGCTTTGCAGATGTTGGGCCATAGGCCCCGGGAATACTTAAACGCCGCAACTTCTGAAAGCAGCTGGTCATGGTTCAAGTCCTTGCGTTAGGAATCGGATGTTTAGATCACCAAACAAAAAAACCCTAGAACCTGGGGCTCAGTGCTTTGAAAGCTCGTAACTGACGATGGAACTTGGCAACTTCCGAGCCCCTTTTAAACCTACAGCCAAACTGAGACATGCTGACAATGCGGACGAGCAGAGTCGGATCCAACACCTTAAAGCTGACAGCGCAGAGCAGGGTCCTAAACTACCGGTTCTTCCAGAAAGGATGGAGATCTCCAGCCCTCGTACTGAGCCAGACTTCATCTGGATGCCTTAAGCTTCCCTTGCCCCTGCTATCGCTTGAAACCTCCAACCGTACGGTTTCTACCGTTATGTGCAAAAGGCACAACTATGCGGATTGCCACGGTATCTTCTGCTGCAATGCAGCTTATTGACCCGTTTCTTCAACAAAGGCCTCTGCTCCCTAACTCAGTGACCGCGCCTCTTGGTCTCGCGCTTGAGGATTTGCCCCGTCTTCTCCTGCACGGCGAAAGTGCCGGAGAAGGTTGCGGGCTTGCGTTCGGGGCCCCGGCAAGCTTTGAAGGAAAGGAGGTTTCGGGTTCTGTGGGATTTGCTTCGTATAGACGATTGTTGGGCTCTGGGCTTAGGGATTGGGGTTTCTGTGCCTGGCCTGGACCGAGTAAACCGTTGGCATTGCTGCATATGGTTGGTTGTCACAGCAATGAGAATCTTCCAAAAACCAGCTAAAGCATCCTCGTACAGCGACGCGAAGCGCCGGCCCAGCGAGAAAGCCCTGGGACCTATTGCCAAAACTATCGACAAGGCCTTCACCTTGGCCATCGCCGGGCTCCTTTGCAATGCCTCGTGCAATTAGAAGGAAGTCTGCACTCAGCCGCCCACTCCAACTCTGGCTGGATGGACTACGTATCTTGTTCAATTCAGCTACATGCGGCTACATACTGTTTCGACATGAGCAAAGTTTGGCAGGTGGCGCTGAGGTAGACACCTGTCTCAGATGACGCTCCTGGTAGAGCCGCGCCAGTAACGCCTGAATGGATGCCAGAACACTTACCGTAGTCGCAGCAGCAACTCACACCACCTTCTGAGTGCTGGTGGCAAATCCGACCACCTCCAACCATCGAAATCCAGCCTACATGCTCTGTTCAAGCCCCAATACGCCCAGCTCAGCACCCCAAGCCTTCAACTTGGGGCGGTAATAGTGGATGGCATGGACGTGGATTTGCTTGAAGTAGTTGAGACATAGTTCCTGTTCAGGGGCTTGTGGCTGCAGCAGCTGCTAATGTGTAAGTATGTTTTCCATTGGATTTTGATCAGGCACCGACTGGCGGGATGTGCTGAGCTTTAGGGATGGTTGTCACACTGCTTTATGTTCCATGCCATCTCACATTGCAGCTTGGGGAGATGCGGCCGCAGGTGTCAGCCCTAAAGCTAAACCCAAAACCGTTTGGTGTTAGCAGGCCTGGAAGGCACCTCCTGCAAAGCCAGCTTTTGGGGCGTGGTCACCTGGATGTGACAAGGAACTCCTCTTAAACTGTTGAGGTTTAGTTATCAGCGATGCATGGCTCGGAGCCTTGCGGCCCACTGCCAAATTGCGATACCTCAACAAAACACAGCCCCGAACCGTCTGAGAGCTTAGCTTCCATTGACCTACAGCCGAGGCTTGCTGAAGTCCTGAATGTCAACTGTAAATCCGCTCAGGGTGAAGAGTCTTCGATCGTTAAGGGTGCAGGGTCCCAAGGTCCATGGTGTTCCATTGCCAGGTCCAAAAGACGCCCGAAACCTTCATGCACTTCAGGACCCTGACTTGGCAGTGCGAAGATCTGCTCCACCCGATGTGTCCGCTCCTGCACATGGACCCGAACCACGCGGGGGCTAGGAGACGATGAATTGTGCATGGTGCCTTCATGAGTGTTCATAACAAAATGCTACAATAGTTTCCTTAAGGAGTGCATGCGTTATGGAATCTTTACACGAGAAACTTTAAGAGTAAGAGATGTTGAGGGATAAGCACTCCGTTTCCAAATGTCTGGGCCAGTACACTTCTAATGCCTTGCCTGGAAGTTGGCGTATGCGGCGATGGTTGCATCTACGCTGAGCCTCAGAAGCGCAGCAGCTGCAACATAAAAGTCTAAGCTAGTGGCTGCTTCTTCCGCTATGCAGAGGCTTACGTGCCAAGCAGGAATTCTGAATTCTCTTCTGGCAGTTAGAAAGAGTAAGCCCGCCACTGGATGGTCTCACTTCCTGCGGGTTTGCCTGGACATACCTGGCAAGTGTCCGAACAAACTCGCCTCAGGCCAGTGTGGCTCGGTGACTGCCTAGCTTAAGGGCCATGGCTTCAACTCCTGCATGGGCCAATCAGGGCGTCTGGGGGTTCAGGCTTCCGGATCTGCATGAGAATATACGGAGCACCGCACTCAAACAGCTTTGGTCAAACGGTCAAGAAGACCACCACCGTCTGCGTGAGGCCGTACCGATCGCTTTCCCACATCCGATGAATGTCCTGACCAGCGGTTGCAGCAGCAACGACTGTGACCTAGAGCGCCGCAAAACCTGCTTTGAAAGCATCCTACACTGTGCTGGATTTAAAATGGTGAACCGGATATGGACGGCTGTCGAAAAAATATGCCGTATTCCTGGGCTCCAAACCCTGCAGCCATAACTTATACTAACAGCTGGAAGAATAACATGGATCAGACACAGATATTCCTGCGATAACAAGGAAGCGTACACCAAAAAAACCCAACAAAGTATCCTTCGTGCTCGACTGCTGCTGCCGCGGCTGCTGCTGCTGCTGCTTGAGACTCAAACTCTGCCTGCGTGGCATCCGTCTCCCGCACGCTGCGTCCATCTTCGGTGAGCCTGGCTGCCGCCTACAACCGCAAAGGCCAGACTGTAATATCGAATTTGGGGCACTGACAAATCCCAAGTTGTTGGCAGTGACAGTTTTCATAGATCTGAGCAGCCGGCACGAAGGTCTGTTTCCGCAGTTTCTGCTCGTTCAAATTGAACCTTCCGTTCCTGACAAGCGTCTGAGCTGACTGTAAGGCTTTATGAGGCCGGACGTGTTCCTCTACGTACTGCCAGCGTCCATGTCTGTGCACAGCAGGCCAACTGTTCCCTTGTGGTGCAGCTGCGGGCTTCCGTCTCTCCTCCGAACTTTGCGCGCTTCAGACTTGCCCTTCTCAGACTTAGTAGGGTACCCCTGCGCACGCTGTCTAGATGTTCCGTGGTGCCCATGGTTGCGGAGGCCAACACCTGCCTGGAATCCCCTTCGGAGGGATTGTTGTGAGTCGTATGCCCTGCATGAATCGACCGGAAATCCAAACAACTGCTCCCAATGGCGTGGATCACCTGCCAAATGACTTCCCATACTTTCTGGAAGTACTAAAGTTCATGGGTTATCCGATGACTAGCTGACTAGCTTCAAAGATGGCTTTTTTTCAAAGTAGGATCTCCTGTTTACAGCCCCTCTGTAAGTATCCGTGAAACTCTTGAGGCTGCTGCAAGAGTGTAAAATCCGCCGGGAACAAGCTCTTGAACTCCTCCTGCGGATGAAGCTGTGAACCCTGATGGGAGCAGGCTTGAAGTTGCCGGCCTGTCCCTTTGAGTCGCTGGCTTTTGCATAAGAACGCACAGGAGCTCGGCAGAGCTGTTGGAGAAAATTTCAGAAGGAGACTGCGGATGCACGGACTATGGCTATGGGCAAGGACTTCACGTTTCACAGGGTATGTACTTGCACTGCCTGCCCAAGCTCTGTACCGTAAACTCTCAAAGTTCGAAGTATACCCGCCTCCAGTGCAGCCATCGTCTGTCCGACCACTCTGTCCTCGTGGGAGGTCTGGGGATGGCGTCTTGAATTCGATCTGGTGATCCTCTAGATCATTCCAGTTGGAGAAAAGGCCACAATCCCGGGCGCAATGCTGGACTGCGACCTGGTTCGGCTGCCCTTGATTCCTTGTGCATGCTTCATCAGGGTACGGTACCTTTACATGTCAGAGGTGCTTTCTGGGGGCTTTGAGCCCTGAGCCCTTGACCTAGACAGCCCACGTTGAAAGGAACTTGTCCGAAGTGCTTCCTTTTTTGTTGGAAGGGGGGGGTGGTGCGGGGAGGGAGAGGGGATGCTCCATCTGGCAGTTAGATAGCGCCTTGTACATATGGAGCTGCTCGATCAGCCAGTCCTCGGAAAGAGCTGGGGCTGTGTGCTCCGACACTGGCTTAAGAAGTGATTGCTCATGCTATCCGAACTCCAACAAAAAGCTGTGAAGGTCGCTTCTATGCCCAACCCCGGATCCCACAAACAGTGAAACCAAGTCTGTTGCAGCAAGGTTTCTTCCGCCTTCTTGTCGCTACCAACATCATACTGCAGGCTCTCCTTCACACCTCAGAAGACGGTGCATGCACCCACAAGCTGTCATGCACTGGGCGGAAGCAGGCAACATGCTTTGAGGACGGTGATTCAAGCGAGTACCTCTGCTGTAACAGGTATCATGCACACCCCAGGCTTCTCAAAAAACTACCTCTGGCAGGAGAAGTCTTGTGCAGGTCACAAACCATCTACGAAGCAAGCGGAAGTGGCCCGAAATGCTCGGATCATATCTTGACGCAAGATTGCAGAAACCCACATCTCAGGAAAGTGCGTGCATTCTGCCCCATCACAGCGTCGACATCGCGTGTCCAGAGGGAGTCAAAGCGATGCATGAAGACCTCGGAGGTGCTCGGGGTTTGGCAAGCCCTACAGCGCCGACCATAGTTGAACCAACTTCAAGTCCAGCCTGCTTGTTCTTCTTGTTCAGCTGAAACAGACCTTCAAGGATCCAGCGCAATGACGGGAAAAGGGGTCGTCCACATGCAGGAACCCTCGGGGCGATGCTAGCTCGGCTTTATAGTATACTGAGTATACCATGTTACGGATACCAAAAAAGACTCTATGGGAGATATCTCATGTACTATACGTAGTAAGAGTAGAATTAAATGAACACCGTCCCCGAGATGGAAGCGGCTCCCAGCTCTCAGCCGGGCACGGTGTTGGGCCAGCTTGGCAATCATCTCCTGCTGGCCAGCCTGAAAGAGAAAAGCGTCCCTTGAGGCCCTTCGCCCACCTCCGCCCGCTTCCACTCACATCTGGTGCTCAGGTCGCTGTGGCCCAGGCTGCCGACATCACGCCTGCAGAGGACTTGGACATACTGAGCTCCTCCTCGGACACCTCGGGAACACAACCATTTACCAAGAATTTCCCGAAAAGTTCCGGCGAATGGAAGACTCCCCAAAGCAAGTCTGTGAAACCTGGCCACAACGCCCCATACAGTAAATCCTTCACATCAGCGAATGGGGTCGGCGCTCTGTCCATATCGAGCTGGAGAATCACGAAGACCAATTCTTGGCAAAGACGGCTCCAAGACCTGGGACTTTTTGAAGTCAGACGTCCTCGTAGAACTTGAAACGATGAATTTCCCATACTTGAGAACTAGAACGACGAGCATTTGCCAAGGCACAGTCCATGGTTTAGGGTTTGGTGCCCGTTGAAGAAAGAACTGTGACGTAAAATTGTCTGCGCTAAGTTCTGCCCCAACGGAATGGGCATGGTAAAAGCATGGTCATTACAAGATCGTTTTTTGTGTCCAGTCCAGTTGGTCGTATGGGTACAGCACATCGGCACAAGGATGTCTTTGATGATTTCCGTGATTGATAGTGCTTGTGACTTACAGGTGTGCAATGGCCAAGAAGCGGAGCGACTTGGACTCATCCTCAGCATTCAACACCACACCGTAAACTCCGAAACCTCGAAAGCCAGACAAAAACGTCCCCCGTTTCGGCAGAGGCCAGAACGCCTGACCAGCCAAACTTTCTTTCCTTCTTCCCAGGAAGTCATTGGAATTTTCCTCCGATTGGCAGGCTGCGCACATGAACTTTTGCAAGGCGCGTCGCGAAATCCAACATAATGTAGCATCATGCCCTAACATTCTCTGTGTGTGTATTCCGACCCCAACCCAAACCAAAGACAGGGTTTGGGAACACGTCCGAAAGAGCGCTCAACCCAAAGACACCGCACGCTACTGCTAAGCTCCTTATCATCTTGAGCCGAACATTGTGAGTCAGGCTTTCTAGAATTCTAGACGATCAGATAACACACTACTGTGAAAGGGGAAACATCGTGGCTTCACAAGTGTGTATATGTATATATATATATATACATACACGCATATAAATATGTGGTACAATGATATAATAACATACACTCTCGACCACCTTGCTGGTCTCCGCCGCCCTGTCCAGAACCTTCATGTAACCTTCGTAATCGGGCCTTGGACGAAGAGATGAGGAAACGCTGCATTTCCAAAATCATTCAACTAGGCAAGATGCATTTTTTCGGCACAATGCTGGGGATTCCGGGTGTCGCTTCTGTGGCTTCAGGGTGGCACTTGGGCGCCGCACCACTTCGCTTCCTCCCCGAGTGAAGAGATCTCCTCCTGCAGCAACATTTTTTGGGCTTCGGGTACACACATTTTCTGCACAGAGAAGTCAACGGCAGTTCTTAAGCCCGGTAGTAGCAGTCGCAGTTTAGCACCAACAAACCGTAAGAAATTGCAATGCATAGCAACCAGTGATAATGTCTCTCGGCAGTAGTAGTAGTAGTAGTAGTAGCAGCAGCAGCAGTAGTAGTAGTCGTCGTGGTGGTGGTGGTGGTAATAGGAGGAGGAGGAGGAGCAGCAGTAGCAGTAGCAGCAGTAGAAGTGGTACTGGTGGTGGTGGTAGTAGTAGTAGTAGTAGTAGTGGTGGTCGTCGTAGTTGTAGAAGTAGTTGTCGTAGAAGTCGTAGTCGCAGTAGTAGTAGTAGTAGTAGTAGTAGTAGAAGTAGTCGTCGTCGTCGTCGCCGTCGCCGTAGCTGTGGCCGTAGCATTAGTCGTACTCGTCGTAGTAGCAGGAGAAGGAACAGTAGCAGTGGTAGTAGTAGTGGTAGTCGTAGTAGTCGTCGTAGTAGTAGTAGTAGTAGTAGTAGTCGTAGTAGTCGTAGTAGTAATAGTAGTAGTAGTAGTAGTAGTAGTAGTAGTATAGTAGTAGTAATAGTAGTAATAGTAATAGTAGTAGTAGTAGTAGTAGTAGTAGTAGTAATAGTAGTAGTAGTAGTAGTAGTAGCAGCGGCGGCAGCAGCAGCAGCAGCAGCAGGAGTAGTAGTAGTAGTAGTAGTAGTGGTGGTAGGAGTAGCAGTAGCAGTAGCAGCAGGTATGCGGTGCGCTGTTGACCAACGCTTTTGTGTGTGTGTGTGTGTGTGTTTCAGGTGTCTCTTGTAGTTATTAACGAAGCTGTCTCTGTCCCTCCCGAAAGTCAGTTCTGGCCTGATCTTGCAATTTTCGTGCTTACGGTTGTGGCACTCTCCTTGAGCTGATGCATAGGCTTGCACGGAAGCATCTACATGATCGGCCCCTTCAGTCAAGTTTTAGGATCTGCTTCCAAATCTTGCTTCTGGATTCTGGATTGTTGAACCACCGAGGAAACCGCAGCACTTCCCCAGCCACAGCACCAGAGCCTGCGTTGTCTTTGTGAGGTCCTCCGCGTAGCTGACCCGAAGGTCGTGACACACCTGCCGCTGCTGCAGGCCGTTCCTGTTTCAAAGGAGCTGTTCCCCTCCCTTCTCAGACAAGGCCGGCTTCCCTTAGTACCAAACCAATAACCAATAAACATACTCTTTGTCAAGCTCAAAGAGATGATGCCAGGAGATTGCAAAATAGCGGACTGCAGATTCCTGGCACCCTTGAGATTAGTTTGCAAGGACATGTAATCGCCGCCAGAGTGGCAACTTCCACCACGGCTTTCCACGCGGCATCATCGGAAGGGCTTGACTGAACTTGCTTGTTGTTGGTGGATAACAAGCACCTTCCAACGATCATGGCAATTTTCGCCCGGGAAAGCACCAATCTGAGTGTGCAAGCTACCTGCTACTTTCAACAATGCTTGTTCTGGCAGGGGCGTGACCGCAACATGTACTATGTCCACCAATCACTTCCGGAATAGAGCACAGCCAAGCAGCATTCCGGCAGCCCCAACATAGTCTGCCACAGGCTTCTCCCTGAGCAGCAGGGAGACCAACAAACAAGCACGACTCAGGGCCCAATACATAAGAGGCTTCAGGCCTCCTTCACCTTCAACCCTTGTGCGCTCAATACACCGGAAGCGAAGACCCCAGCTCTGTTTTCGGCCGTGCCTCTTCCGCAGGGTCGCAGCTCTAACATGATAACATTATTAGTCAACAACAGCTCTAAACCCCTACAATAAGCACCGAAAATCCCCCAAAGAATCCGCAAGGGCCCCCTGATCTTGGGCTCCCGCATTGCTTTGTGGGCGGCTTTGACAAAGCCTGTAACCTTCTCGGGATCGGTCAGCTCCTCGTCTTACTCTGTTTGTAGCAATGTAGCGTTGAATGCAGTTCACTGAGCGGTTCACTGATGGTACATGTAGGAAACTCGACTTAGAGAATGTCCTCCCCCAACGGTCTACCTGGGCAAGTGGCGTGGTTAGGGTTAACAAACCACCAAGCACGAATTTCAGCACTGGGGTCTCCTGCAGCATTCCCTTCCACATCGAATGCCAAGCAGATGCCATTTCAAATTGCAGTGCCTTCAGCAGCTTCAGTACCTCAGGTACACGATTCATGTCTTTCTTGAGCGTTTGCTACAGTGCTTGCGTGACCAGCCCCGGCCTATGCCTGGTGAACAAGAAGTGCTGAGCATGAAATGTAAGATGGTTTGAGCTGCCTGCCTCACAGTCGTAAAGCTTTGGCTCACCATTGCGACCTGAATTCAGCCGTCTTGCACCAGGTTGACAAAACACTGGGGAGGTTTGCGCCGTAAGTCGGCTGCTGACCGGGACTTCGTAGTCCTGGCAGTGATTGTTGCCACTATATTTGCACGCCTGCTTCGTGCAAGCGCAGCATGCTCGTGACTGGACACCTGCAACTTGCCCTACCGATCTTCTCAGAACTGGATGGGCAGCTAGCTCTGTATCCCAACTCTAAACGTAAACCCACCCAGAACCTCAAACCGGCACCATCCTCCGTGCACATGCGGAAGATTTGCAAGTTCACCGCGTTGCTGCAATTGATGTAGGGCGTACCGCCGCCCTGCAGTGTTGAGGAACGACCAGCGGCTTCACAGCTTGGCCGCAGGGATATCATAGTGAAACCGAAGCCCTCCACGTTTCTGGTGTCTAGTTAACACTTCCCAGGCCTCCAACAAACGGTTCGATTGGGGCCTCACTGGCTCTTTCACGTCGCCACCCACCGCTCTCACGCAAGCTTTTGTCAGCCGGCCTGGTCTAACTGTATGTGCGAACAAAATTCTCCATGGCCGTCCCTGGATGAATTAACTCTAAGCATGACTCCGCAAACCAGCAATCACACACTAAACCTCTGTACGACCATCCAAAAGCATGTCAAGCCTGCCTCTGCAATCTTCTTTTCCTCGGATCTCTCGCAATCCTTTATCTCCTCAAGCAGCTCCTTGTGCCAGCCGACCTGATGGCCTAAGACGCATGTAGCAGGTTCAGCTTTGGAGCTTGCAATGTAAATCCTGTAGCTTACAAACTTAGTTTGTGCTCTACAAGCCTGTTCATCTTCAGACCTTCCGTGGGACCTTCCCCAGAGACATCGCTTCCGCAAACCCTTCCGCGCACACAGTCCCAAGCCCATTTCAGGATTTCCACGTTTAGTTGACACACACCCTCTCAAGAAAAACTGCAGCTCAACTTCGAGTTTTAGAGACCATGGCTTTAGGTTGTGCTGTCGCCACTTTCTTTCCGCCAAAAGCTTGCATTGTATCATTCGCCTGCGGTTTTCGCTTTGCGCTAGCATTTCTTGTCGACATCGTCGTCGCTGCTGCTGCTGCTGCTTCTGCTGCTGCTGTGACATCTTGACTGCTACGAGGATCGCGCGCATGAACATGCGTGGGCACGGCGATGGTAACCTGTAGCTACTGCCCGACTTCTGCTGCTTGCGTTCGGAGTTGGAATTCAGCCACCCCTTTAACCATAAACCCCTGAGAAGCTCAAGAACCTGTCAGTACTAAAGCCATCCGAAGCTGTATCCACGCCAAAGCCTCCGGCTGCCTGACTTCTTGGGCAGGCCCCTCATGCAAACGTAATGAGAGGTTCTTGGAGCATACGACGGAGTAGCGTAGTGTACCGCGAAAATGCACGCTGGTAAATCAAAGCCTTGCCATGTTCTTAGCAACTTGCTGATCGACACTCTGGCGCTACGCTTGAGTTTCCCCCATTTCCACCGCGTTGTGCTGTCGTCCCAGCTCACAGTAGGGGGGGCACGGTCGACGGCATTGGGAAATGTCGGACTTGACCTCGCAAACGGCCAGATGCCTGCGAGCAGAGTCGCGAATTTCTTGCGAGGACGGCCGCTCTACCATCTACACACATCAGACCTGATTCTGGCCAGGCTGCCCCAGGCCGAGTCTTTGTCGGAGTTTTCGAAGCGCAGCTTGCGAAGGCTCATTTGCCTGGGGAGAAGAAGTCCGAACCCGGTGTTGACCCGCCAATAAACTTTGATGCCTACCCTGCAAAAGAATCGCCGTGAGCCCTGAAACCTCCAAACACTGGAACTAGAAACGAACAACCCCAAACCCTGACACCCTCAACCCTCAAAAACAGAGCTCCCAGACCTCGATGCCCTGAGGCCCGAGCCCTCCGTTGTTGAACTTGAAAGGCAGCATCCAGTGCAAGGCTGCTGGCTTCAGTGTGTTCCTTGACGTTTCCGGCTCTTACGAGGGTTCAAGGCGTTCTCTGGAAGAATATTCGGGGGCTGTAGGGCCGGGCTTTTCGAGGTTAGTGGCTTTGGGAATAGATTGCGGTGCTTTGGCCTGCGTAGCATAAGCAAGAGTGCAGTGAAGTGAGATGGATCGGCTGGTTCTCGCAAAACTCTCAGCCATCTTCTGCTCCTCCAAAGATGTCTGCAAGTATTGACACTGGAACAATGTGCTTCCTGGGTTGTCTGCGAGCAAGTTTGCTTTAAAACAAAGGTTCGCGATGTAAACTGGGGGTCCCTAAAAGCACACACGGTCCTTTCTAGTACCGCCTGAAACGGATGGTTCCTGAATAAGATAGGATATCGAAAAAGGATCCCAGCTTTTGAGACACTTCCGCAATAAACCTCCCAATAACCCAATGGAAGACAGGCGCTGCAGCCGAGCATCTCACCCTCTCGAACCATCATGCCAGATTTCAGCCGCTTCTGGTATTTCTTGATCACGTCATCCCAAATAGGGGCTCCGCTGTCGTCCTTCTCCGCCGAGCCCTCCAGCTCCAATGAAATCCTGGCTTGGAATTTAACGCCTTTAGACCTTTGGGTGTACATGGCTGCAACGAATTCCTTTTTCACGGTGAACAGAATGTTAAACCTTCAGCAGGTACAACCCTGCAGCCGACACCATCACCTGAAATGCTGAGCAAGAATCTCAGACTTGGCGTGCTCGAGCAAAGCCTCCTTCACGCATGACAAGATCATGGCGGTAGTTGTTGGCTCCTGACGAGCAACACTTCAACACACTCATTCCACACGATCCCCTAAACCGCAAGCAAGCCTGAAGAATCCAACTACTCCAAGAATCCAAACTACTAAAGCATATCACCCACGAAACGCAGATAAACCCCACCTCTAGCTACAATGGCCTCGGCACCAAGCCTTATTACCGCCAATGTTAACAACTTACAAGAACTGCATTCAAATCTCCAACAACCCGGAGAACCCAAGAACCTGGTCCAGAAGAACACTCAGACTCAGTCAAAGCCGAGAATAACAAACCCACCTCAAACTCCACCCAAAGGTCCAAGGATGTTCAGCGAAACTGTTAAAAGCCACCAGAGAGACTCCAGCGATCCTGTATGCATTAAGGAAAGCCAGAGAGGCTCATCCTTCTGAAGCCGAAAACCTACATTGCCCAGGGCCAAGGTAGCTGGCTCTTTGGGTACCAGGGCCGACCTTGCTCCTAGTGGTTTTAAGTGTTTTGTTGGGGGTATAAGAAGTTTGCGGAGATACTTGGATCTCAATCTGTCGCTTTATGAATAGGCCAGTAGGCCGACACTCGTGGCCTTCAGGCCACTGCTTTTGGTTCAGGCCCAAAGGAGCCCTAAACTTCGAGGTCTAAGCATCCTTAACAGGCGCCGACACCGCTCCTGCCGGCGGGCCGTTGGACCCACATCCACAAACTCTGGGTCGGATGCCTGCTCGTCCTTCGGAGCTTGTATCTAAGCTCTTTCGGGCTTCGGCTTAGGGTTTAAGGAGTTTAGGGCATACATTGGGGATTTGGCCTGAGGCTTTGAGTGCTGTGGCTTGAAGTAGGCTGGGGGTTTAAGTGTGCGGCGCGTCCTCCGCGTTCGAGTTCACCAAACCTCGGCCGTTGAGATGGGTTGGATTTCCGTTCCGAGGATTTCGGGGGCTTGGGGGTTGGTCTGAGTCGAAAGGGCTGAAGGCACTGGGTTTCAGCTTCCATCAGGCAGGAATGCTAACCCATCAGTCGCCAAGACACTGAGGAACTCGTCCAACTCGGCACCGCAGTGTGCTTCCAGAGTGTGGACTGCGCTGGCATAGTCGCGCTGCACAAGCCGCTGAAGGCGTCGTTGCAGCTGCTTCAGCTGAGGACGAACAAGACCCTCGCGCCCTCCAAGTTCCACGACGAGTTTGACAGTCTCCTCGTTGAAATTGAGCGTGCCAGCCCTGAGTCATGTGCAAAACAAACCCTTGTGCTTACACACAGGCCAGTTGCCAGTCCTCTTTATGGTACGAGCCGGTGCTCCAGATTTCTGTGCAACAAGAGTGCTGGCATGAGCTTTGCTGCCTAGGCCAAGCCGACTTTGGACAAGAACTCAGCAGAACCCTCATTGCAACACAAGCAACCAAGGACCAATATTGCCTAATTCGAAGAAGGATCACAACAACATGCTACAGAAAAAACACGGCTGCACGGTTTAAAAAAACACAGCTCATAGACGAGCACTACTACCCCAAAACGAACATGTTCGACTACAGGACATCAATAAGTGCCGATGCCCACGCCCACCCCCCTTCTTGCCCCCACCCCGCCCCCGGTCCCCTTTCAGGCAATGACGAGACACCAGGAACCCTCTTGCTAGGCACGTGGCCTTCCGCTGCCAACCTGCCCCTGCACATGGCTCTTCTTCGCCTGGCGGAGCCCTATGCCTTAAACCTTCGTCTAATCGTCGTTCCAAGGATAAACACACAAACGCTGTACACCTAGACTTGTACAGCCTGACAGCGCCACTCCTCCAAGACCCACAATTCTGAGCACAGTGCTCCCTAAACGCCCAAATCGGCCCCCAAAGTCCACATGGCCTGGTGCACGCAAGGCATGGGCGCGAAGGCCAGCATTCCAGTGAACCTCGGGAAGAGTAGCTGCGAGCTAGGAGCTTCTGCTGAGAGAAAGCCGCACCAGTTAACGAAAGCAGCTGTCCACAAGCGAAATGGTCTTCGCTTCGATGCAATGCGTTCGCCTTCTTAAAGGTTACACGCTTTCATCAATCGACCAGCCCCCCAAAGACCCCCAAGCACATGAGCCGAAAACCCTGAAGTCCTCAACAAACCCTTTGAACCGTAGACGCAAGACCCCACCATGCACCGAAATCATTTAAAGCCAACCAAACCTTTTACTCCTTTCAGGCCGGCGCTCATCGACGAGCCGCTGCCAGCTGCGGATGCACCCAAGCTTCAGCTTCGACTGCGGGCAAGGGCATGCAACTTGCACTTGAGGTGGTCCAGAAGACGTTCGGGAGATCCTTTGACGGAAAGCGCTTGGGGGGATGTATAGATGGAGGTTTAGATCATGAAGAGCTTCCAACCCGTCTTGCTCACGCAACTCCGATCCTAGACCCTCAACTCCAAAACCTTTCGCCGGACCCGGGGCCTCGAAGCCGCAGTACTTGGTCAGCAGGTGTATCACCTTCTCGTCAAGCTTCTCATCAAACCTCCGGATGCATAGCAGCATAGCTGGATAATCGCCCAATGATGCAAAAGAATGGTAGCATTGGCGCATGGCATATCATAGCTTTGTGTGCGTTGTTTGGAAGTTGAGCGGGCTGGGCGGTGTAGGACAAGAAAAAGGTTCTCGAGTCTTGGATGATGGGAGAAACACCGGGAAAATTGCAATCATCCCAGATGCAGTCGCCACAATGAGACCACAACGGTGATACGAAGACTACGACACTAGAAGAAAGTCTGAAAGCATTGCAAACACTTATAAACCCTCATAAATTTTAAACCTCCAAGATTCTTGGAAGACTTGCTGCCAAGCCGCCAAGCGAGCTCGTCTTTCGCATGCTGGTCTTGCAACTCGTTCCCTGAAGTCTGTCCTGGCTGAAAGAAACTCATCCCCACAAGCTTTCGCAGGTACCGTACCTGTTCGATAGAGCATGCTGTAGTATACTTCAAGTACATACGGATATATACCGTATACTGTAGAACATAGTCTCCTCTCTTGGACATAGGCACCCCTTCGATCGTGACGATTTTCTATTGAGCTTACAAAGTCTTTCTGATCAGCTGGTTTCAAGCTCGCAAAAAGACGAGCTCGTACGTGCATAAGCTACATACGTGAAAATCTGGCAGGCACGAGCCAAACATGCAACAACACTGGTACGCGACGTTGATGATACTGGTCGGGGTGTGATGATAATGGTGCTACTGGCAATCATCATGACACTGCCATACAGCCCGACAGAGCGTAGACTCCGAGAGGCACAACAAGCTGCGAAAGCCCACTGCCCCCAAAGCTGGCTCCTGCTGGCTTGACTTCATCAAGCGATGCACAAAGCGAGGCCAGTGCGGAGCCACTCGTGGCATCTGCCCTCAGCACTGCTTCTTTCGGGGTCTCGCCGGCTGAGGGGGTTTTCGGGATCTTCGGCTTCGGGGTTTTTGTGTCGACAGCAAAACTGTCTCTGGCGCACCCTCCGGCACGCAGCATCTCTCGCTCCCTTGACCAAAACCCGGCCTGGTTCGACCCTGCAAACCTCGCTTACCCACCATTCCTCACACTGTGACGATCCTTAAACCTGGGCCCTGGGCCCTGCACCCCCGCAAAACCCCTGAGCGACAACTAAGGCTCTTACTCGGCTGCGAGCCCATCCTGCATCGCATTTCGGGCTCAGGGCGTAGGCTTTAGGGTGCTGAAGCCTAGGATTTAGGGCTGGGAGTTTCGGGTTAAGAATTAGAATAATACACATGATGTCAACTCGATAACATTCCAGTGAGTCTAGATAACTGCAGTGTAGTTTCCGTCACATTGTGCAGGTACGTCATTTTTTCCAGCTGATTTCTTCGTTTATCGCGATTCTGTGCTCAAGCTTCGCGTTGATGTCTAGAATATTATGGACTTTCAGAGTTGCACAGCCAATGTGCACAACAAACTCCACAATATGGAGTTTTTCAAAACGGGATGACAATGTCTCTTCAAACATGGCAGGGCTTCCGTCGCGCTGATGGTCGAATCCAAGTACCAAGTGCATGCCGTCGCGAAGGAAGCAATCATGCTATCCCACCTAGCGGGCAGGAGGTCTGCTTGAATTCTCCAGCATTTCTTTGCAAGATTTCGTTCAGGGTTGCGAAAGGCCTCTTCGACCCGACCCAAATTTCATCAACCAGACAAGACTGGATGAGACTAGGCAAGATCAAACCATCCTGAGCTGAGCTGAGCAAGCGGAGGGGAACTAGTCGCTCTAAGCGAATCCAAGCTGGTCTAGCCCAACTAACCTGACCCAAACTAGACCGCACTGCGCAACTGCTGGCGAAAAGTCTGTCTGACGACTGAGGCCATCGCTCGGGTGGGAAATGCAGCTGCTTCACGCGCGCTTCAGCCTCGGAGCCGAACCAGCCCAGGCGTTTGAGCAATATAACCCTCCACATGTACGCCTACATATACGCTTTGTGTGTGCGTTGTTTTCGGGTTGGGTGGTGCAGGACTTGAGAGCTGGAAAAGGTTCTCGAGTCTTGGATGACGGGAGAAACACCGGGAAAATTGCAATCATCCCAGATGGTCGACAAGATCATACCATCCTGAGCTGAGCGATGCAGCTCACCCACTGGAGTGCACAATAAATAGGGTCTTGTGTATGCCATACACCCACTTCGCATCCAACACTTTTACTCGGTTGGTGCAACAAGGTGGTGCTGGCACTCTTGGTTGCCACGGTTGAGCTATCGGGGTGAGGGTTTAGCATTGGATGTTCGAGAACTTTAGGTCAGGTTTCCAGCACGCTACAGCCACACTATAGCATCTGGCAATAGAACAAGCCACCAAACGTGGACTAGCGTGGACTATCGCACTCGTGTCGGAGAGCTGCTGGGTGCAAGGTCATTCAACCACCTCTAACCCTAGTTACCTCAATTCGTAATTCTAGGTGTGTTCGGAATCGCTGTGGGATGCCTTGGGCTGTGCCTCACAGGGTCCACAGCAAGACGCAGCCACTGTGGTTCCAGAGAGAAACTTGGAGACCGAGATGTGTTTCTGCAAGAAGCTTTTCGGAGTGCAAATCCAGGCTTGCAAGTAATCAGAAGTCCGCGCCTGTAGCAGGAAGCAGCGGAGGTTGTGAGACTCTAGGTGGCAACGATTGAAGGGTCAGAACGTCGTTTCAGGCGGCCAGGGGTGCCCAGATTCCCCTGGTCCCTGATGGTGTGTATCAGGTTGCTTCAGGAAACAAGTCCCACTCGAAGCAGCAGTAACAGTTTTGGTCGGACATGTCACGCTGTGTGCAAGCAAATCATAAATTCAGCCTATACCCTGATGCTAACGCTTTGCTAACGCTTCCTGGTTGCCAGCAAGATTGTTCTGCGGAGTGGTCCCCTTCTCTTGATATCTCTTGTCATGGCTGTGGTCAGTATCACCCCTGTTGGCACCGGGTAACAACTGCAGGAGCGTGTATCTCGAAAACAAATTCTCGTGCCCGAGGAGTCCATCAATCTTGGATGGGCTCTGGAGTCTCTGTAGTTGACTCACAGGTACCATTGGTGGTCTGCGTGTGCTGGGCGTGGTTTGGGTGGCCTGTGCAATGGATTTCCCCTAAAACGAACCCTGAGCACAAATTACCTTCCAACTTCAGCAGCATGCCTGAGCGCATCAATGAGTCAACTTGCGTGCTTCGAAAATCTGAGACCTGGCTTCAGCTAAGCTGTTTTCTGATATGCTCAGCATAGCTTTGGCTTTATAGCGCCCTCTTTAAACATTCTGTGTACCAGGGTAAGCGTGAGGTGATCAAAAAGCTTAAACAAAGGATATCTGAACTCATGTCATATTTCTTTGTCTCCAATTTTCGGCTCATTATGTGCTCAAGGTTGAGCACGACAAACAGCTTGTCGCACAGTTGACTGTCTCTGCTTGCTGTTGAATATCTAATATAGAATGCTTTATAATCTTGTCAAATTCAAGCATTTATTGCACTATACTGCCTCGATGTACTCCAGTTTGTTGACACCCTAAACTCCAAGCAATGCTATACTAATGTAGTGCTCTATGCTGCACCAATGAGGCTGCCCTGAAGGGCCAATACGGACAAGAGGAATCCACAGTGCACCCCTTTGGGAACCGGGCATGGGCCATCTCTAGCTCCTTCGCTTTGATTTGACTTTGCAACCTTTGGAAGAATTTGGGGAGTTTAGGGTTTAAGGCCTTAAACTCTAAACGGGGCTTAAGGTTTAGGGCTCAGGGTTGGTGTTCTAGGGTTTAGGGTTCTGGGCTTAGGATAGCCGGCATATGGGGCTCAAGGCATACAGTGAGCGTATAGGGTTCAGAAGCTGTTCGAGCATTTTGGACTTCGAGGTCTATACTACGGATATCTACAGCTTCAGTTCCCCTAGAACTTTCATTCGTGATGCGTCGCATGGAGGGACTAAAAGCGTTTCAGGATGTCTGCCGATTGAGGTGGTGAAGTTTCGGAATGTACGGATATTGTTGAGTGCTGCTGTCTTGCACCACAAGTGCACGATAATCCCTGTCCAGTGTAGTTGTCTGAATCCGACAAGGCAAGCGAAACAGCTCAACTGGACTGGCGTCCAACAATAACACGAACCACTGCGTGAGATAGCTCTCAAACTCCGCGAAGCGCAACAAGCTACCGCTTCTTCTTCTGATTGGTCCACATGCTGCAAGGTGCCTTTGTATTCCTCGAGAATACATCTCCAACCCAAGCCCAAAACTCATGGTTAACCCCAAGGCCTCGGAACAACAGCTTCTTCCATCAATCGTGAGACCCCGAAACTCGCCGTGGCTTGCCTGTATTTAGCACACAAAGGTTTTAACGACTACACGCAGCAAACAGCATTCAGCATTGGGGTAACTTTCTCGCTGCAGGCGGACAACACGCATGCTAACTAGTCGCCGTGGGTTCGGGTTCAACACCCAAACATGTCCATCAGCATACCTCAATTTTGTCTCCGCGCTTCCGCAGCCACGCATGTCAAACACGACTTGAGCAGCAGTTTTCAACTGGTTGCAAAACAGCCATCAATCTCAAGCAGGATTCGGAAATTGCGAGGCTCGTGGGTTCGGAACTGCACATGCCATCACCGTGTCCAAACAATTCGCTGGGAGCACGACTCATGCCGCAAGAAGGTGATCTGTCCATCGATGTCTCGGAACCTTGATCATAGCATGTCTAGGTTCAGGGTTATGATGCTGGGGTCTCAAACCGTCATAGACTGCTTTGAGCTAAGAAATGAACGACCGAGAAAGAGTGTTCGAAGGTCTGCGAACGGCGGTGAGTTGTAACATTGTACCCGCGCGATTCGGCTATATTGTGCCCGCGAGCGAGAGTTTGGTCAATGGCAAGAGATGTAGGCCGCCAAAGCCGCAACCCGCAAAGGAATGCTGGCTGGCAAATCTACAACCACGAAAAGGAGATTTTACTCAGCAGACTATAAACTCTCAAACGAATGTCGAGATGTTGGCAGACAAGCATAAACCTTGAAAAACACTTAACGGAGACGTTGCTTAGAAAAGCCGTGATCTCAACATAGGGAGGTGTTGCTTGGCAAACCCTAAACCCTAAACGGAGATAAAGCCTGCCGAACCTGAGGCCTCAACAGCAGATTTTGATTGGCACACCATAAGCCCTAAACCTTAGAATGCCAAGCCCTGAACGGAGAAGCTGGGGAAGCATAAACATGAACAGGATAAACCCAAACCCTGAAAGGTGATATTTGCTGGCAAACACCAAAAACATAAACGAACAAAAGGATATGTTGCCTGGGAAATGCTAGCTGCTAGACCCTGAAGCAGGGTTGGCAAACCCCAACATCTGGAAGGACATGTAGCTTGCCAAAACCCAACACCCTCAAAACGGACATTGATGGCCGAGCCCTCAAACTTCTCGTCACTTCACTGGTTGAGGTCCCGGGGTCCAAAGCGAAAACGTAGTGTACGTGCAACCCAAAAACCAACGTTTACTATGAGCGCCAGCATGCACACAAACAAACTCAGCAAATCAGAAATGAAA